TTCTTACATGTACAGATTCCACATACTGTGTGGTAGCTAGAATGGATGCCACTGTTTCATCAGTATCATCATGGTATGTGTGAATGATGCATGGGTTTTCAGATGTGAGTTAGGAAGCAAACCACGATTGCCTTGAGGGTTTTGAATAGCCTTGGGAGAGATTCGCTTGGCTCTAGTCGAGCTGCTGAAATCTCTGTCAGATAAACAAGAATCTGTAACCGACTCAAGGTTAGCACACATGGTTCATAGCTGCTACATACCTGCATGTAAGATGGACACAATTAATTTGGCTTGACTTCTTTATGTCCTTTCTATGCCTTAAAAAGAAGAAGAAGAAGGTAATGGGTTGACCTGCTTTGTGTGGTAGATTCTAGTGGACTGGATATCAACCTGACTGTAATTCAAAGATTACGTTAAAGTTTGGACCAAAGATAGCACTTCATATTTAAATTTCACTTGGTTAAAATGCTCAGCGGTCATTCTTGTCTTGTTTCCCATGACCGCTGAGGCTACCCGAATCTTAAATTACTTAGGAGTATAATCAGAGGTCTGTTTCAGATATGTGTAAAAGTGATGGCTGTTTAATTACTGTTGGCTTCAGGCTTCGGCTGAGCTGGTGTGTATATGACATCTCAGCTGTAAACAGCTTTGGCTTTCTGTTTGGACATCCATAATGTGGGGCAGTAATTCTGCAAGAGCTGCCTTCTCTTTGTCTGCGGTCTCCCAGTTGGCCCCAAAGACATTTAGCAAATGCCAGAGTTGTTTCAGTGACCAAACATGACTTTCTTTTGGAATTGAAATGGGACACACAAGAAGGAGCTTCTTAAGTGTCTTACACTGGTGAAGAGTAAAGAATTAAAGAAAAAGATTAGTAAGAGATGAGATGGGGAAGAGAGGAGAAACAAAAAGCAATGAGTGGGAGACAATCGTAGAAATGAACAAAGGGCATAAAAAGGGCTAGGTGAGGTTCTGTAAACTAGATGCAGAATAGGCATACAGGAGTGGGAGAGGCCTCCTTCTCGTGGTAGTGCACTGTGTGATTTGGCTTCTCATAGCCAGACTATAGATTATAGCTCCAATCTCAAGCCCCGTCAGAGCCAGTCTGGCTCTGCTCTCTGCTGCTAATTACACCCACTCACAATAGGAGCACTGTCCAGCTCTCAGCCCAAAATATAGATGTCTGTGGTGCTTGTGGTGGTGATCATGCAAAACAGATTGCTGTTGGCGGAATTTCCCAAACTCAGTGTGGGATGAATCCAGCACTGAATCTTGTATTTATTGGTGTGACCAACTTGCTCTACAAATGGTATACTACTATTGAGAAACGGCTTGTATTACTGGAGCACCAGTGCAAACTTGCAAGCGTTTCAAAGTGATTGGTGTGCAGCTGACATAAGAAAATGAACGTTTATTACAAATATGTATTTATTTTGTCTTTGCTCCACAGGGCTGTTTGCCTCTGGTATTAATGTTTGACATTAAAGAGGATATTGAGGTGGAGCCCCAGTGTATCACAGCGCTAATGGAGCAGCTGGATGTCTTCATCAGTATCAAACCAAAGCCAAAACAGCCCAGCAAGGTATGACTTGAAGCCCACACTCACACGGCACGGAAAGTTGGGATTTCAGGCACTGGTACTGACTTGGCTTTGAGAAAGGCAATTTAGTCTTTAATCTACAGCTACTTCTATCCAAACCAAAATATTTTAACTGTTTCAATGGATTGTCACAAAGTGCTGAAACCTAATGACTTTAGTAAACCCCTGATCTTGCCTTGAGCATCATCATGTGGTTAATCTCTGTGGTTTCATGGCAGGAAATCCAAAGAATGGGTTTAAAACAGTTTCCAGCTTTAGAGGATGCATATTGTGTTTTTAAAGTGATCGCAATGAGCCATTTTTGTTTGGGGTTTTTTTTTTTTTT